TCCTTTCCTTTCCTTTCCTTTCCTTTCCTTTCCTTTCCTTTCCTTTCCTTTCCTTTCCTTTCCTTTCCTTTCCTTTCCTTTTCTTTCCTTTCCTTTCCTTTCCTTTCCTTTCCTTTCCTTTCCTTCTCTGTTATTTATTTTTGTGTCTGTATGATTGTTTTACAAGTACAATATTATTAGAATGAAATGTAGTAGAAATAAATCAATACAAGTGTATTAAAATGTAAATACTTAATTATAAGAGGAAAAAAGGAGAAATAAATGAACACCTAGATTGTAAAATATTATAACTATTTTAAAGCCTTGTAAAGCTCTTATAAAGTATAATAATGTTTAACAATATATATACTACTACTTTTAAAGCTTTACATTAGATTGTATACATTATAAAACTATATTACTCTTGTTAAAATACAAAGTTCTTTCAATATCTTTTCATTTTAGAAGGTTAAATATAAGTTTGTTTACATATTGTTAACACTTATAAACCTTATTCATATTAACAATTTGTACATACCTTTTTGTATCTTACATAGCTTTTTATAATTTTCTCATTTTGAGAGGTTGAATATATGGTCTTTTATATTTTTTAGAAAATTTATATAATTTATATGTTTATAAGCTAATATAAGTCTTAAGACTTTTTCCTAATACCCTCTCTAAAACCAATTGTCCTGATTGGTAAACATTAGACTTGGTTAGTAGCTTAGGTATAAGTCAGAATAGTAGGGTTTAGAAATCTGTAAGGTAGAGTTGACACAGAGCACCCAGATAAAGTTGATAGAAGTCTTAGATTACCTTAGTAGTATGAGTGAGATTCTCAGTAGGTTCCTAAGTGTGTTCTTCAACTGAGTATCCCTTCTAGTAGATAAGGAACTTGAGCTTTTCATATACTAGCTTAGTATTCACTACATACTCTACTTTGTATTCTAGTTCAGAACTAATGAGTTCTAGTAAAGGTAGTAAGGGTCTTTGTTACAAAGGAAAACCTAGATTATAGTACTAAGATAGTAGAACCTTGTTAAACACTGAGTGTATGTACTTCCATATTGTTAGAAGTTAGAGTTTGTAAACAGAGGTACTAACCTTCTTTTTAATAACAAAGGGTCTAAAGTGCTTGTTGTCCAACTTCTTTATTAGGTGATCCATAGTTAGGTTAGTAGCTTCTAGTATAACTTTGTCACCAGACTAGTAATCCTTGACTACAGACCTCTTCTAATTATAGTTCTACTTTATAACCTATACTACCTTTTCTAAAAGAGCTTGTGTGTCCTCTCT